AGCCAGAGTATTCACTCTCTGAAGATGAATAGACGAGATAGCTATTCGAAACCTCAGACCACAAATAGACCTCTCCCGGTGAACGCTCTTTCTCCTTCTATCTAACCAGTGTTTATTGAAGCGTTAACTCAAGACCTAAAAAGAACGCTTAGTCTAACGTTAAAGCTAACTTCAAATCTAAAAATAACTCTTACCCTAAGACTAATCCCAACTTTTACCCAGCATCTAAATCTAGCTCCACCTTCTGTAATTAAGTCTACATATTGCCCTAATCCTTAATGAATCCAACCCAAACGGCAGTCCTAAAGTTGTCCGAACGCCAGTTTATCTTAGTGCAGCAGCCTATGTCCTTGGCTTCCCTCCTCAGGACTAATCCCCAATGATCGTACTCCTAACTCTAGTAGCTCAACGGTTACACGGACAGTGACCTGAAGGTTAGCTGATCTGATTCTATCAGCAACAGTAGTCAACTTTATAATAACAATAAGAATTTGCGATGGGAATAGTTTGTGTCATCATCTAAAGAAGGCATGAGAGTAGGAATCACCCATAATATGTGTGGTTGTGCGCCAAATTTGGAGAAATTCGGTTTGTGACTAAGCTGAGGATTAGGGTTCAGTTAAGGATTAGATTTAAGTTTAGTTTTTCGGGTTAGAGCCAGTATTTGTGTTTGGATTCGTGCTAACTGAAGATTTTACGTTTAGGTTAAGGTTCAGGTTAAGATTAAGCTGGCAGTTTACTTTTCTGTTAGGGCAAAGACACAGGAATCTTTACCCTTCCAGAAATTTATCGCAAGGCGACTTTAAGTGAAAACGGGCGTTCCTATTTTCGCTTCTATTTGGGCAGCACTGCAAGTCCTCCTTACCGAACGTGGTTAAAGCAAGTAGCTCCTTGCCAACCCCTAAATATAACTCCAGATTGCGCAGCCACCCACATTCCATTACTTCCATAAACTCCCTGTAACATATTTCCAATGAAGTGGCTGATGGGCGTGATGCGTATTTCGTGCAACATTTTTGACTAAAATCGGCTTCAAGAAATGGCAGAAGTATTTCTATACTTTCCGACTTCTGTTCACCATAAAAAAATCTCACGAATACTAAAATCTGATAAAATTTTCGTGCTTTTGCCTTTCGAAGTGGGATTCGTATGCCACTTGCGATTGAGGTGGCAATAAGACTGGCTAGAATGGAATTCGCAGCGTTAATCTGCCGCAAAAATACTGCCCTTCTGCTGTGCTGGTAGTACGCGTTCACCCCGAATCCGAATATGTACTTCGGATTGAATGTGTTGGCGTAGGATGACGAGTTCACACTTGCAGTTAGTGCAAATCCTCTTCACACAGACAGCAAATGTCCAGTATCTAAGACAGCAGAATGAACGATTGTGTGTGTGTGTCGTAGCCCATTGTTAGATCAGGAATTCCCGCCGGAATCCAAACTGGGAGTAGTTGGGAGACGGTGAAAAGCCGAGACCTCGACCGGCTTGGACCAAAGGTCCGCGGGAGTGAGGTGAGTGCCTGGCCGATTGTCGTTTACACCGGTGTTCTTCCGCCTCAGAGCTTTAAAGACAATCGCGATGTGTCGATCAGAGTGCTCTGTTTCATTATGCAGCATGTTATAAACTACAGTGCATGACCACTCAAGCCCTAATTTCTAGGTGATCATAACGATCCCAAAAACTGACACAATATGCTTTGGCATTGGGGTGTACAGTATGGCGAGAGCTCCGGGCAACATGCCGCAATTTGCGAAAGACTGCTAATCACTTGCAAGCCAACGATAAGTAGGGTTGCGATACTGATGATCGTGCAGTCTAATCTTAAGTTCTTTCAGTCACCCAAGGATACCGGCCCTGTAATGAGCTTCTTTCTGATCGCTTACAAAAAGGAGATTTTAAAAAAAGAGCTATTTAAATTGTATGCATTTTTATCATGGATTTTGACTGTCTGTTTAAATTCAAATATATTTTATAGAAAACATGCAGGAAAATATCTTTTCTTGTACTCGTTTGGTAGGAAATTACGTCTTCCTCAAAATTTATAGTAAAATATTTCTAAATTTCCAAATAATTTTGAAATTTGCCGGCTGCTACACCTGAATTCAAGATTTCCAAACAGCATGCTATGCACATTCTGTTAAAGGAAAAATAATTTTTTGCTTGCGGTTTGAGAAAGAAATCGTATAGGTCTCATAGAATGTTGCAATGGATCATGCTATGTACACTGTAGGCAGCATTAATAAATTGACGGATACAACGTATTTTGAATGAACATCTCATATTCATAAAAAATCCGATAGTTGGAAATTATACTGAAACCGATGGATACCCTATTTCTTAAGTACAACATTTAAAGAGGGCGTAATTTCCTACCAAGCGAGTACAAAAAATTTTTTTGTGCATGTTTTCTTTAACATATATTTGAATTTGTAAAGGCGGTCAAAATCCATGATAAAAATGCGGCTATGGGCAGAAAATGCATACTATTTAAGTAACCATTGTTTACAAAATCTCCTTTTTGTAAGTGGTCAGAAAGAAGCTCATTACGGAGCTGGCATCCTGGCTTGACTGAAAAAAACTTAAGATTAGACCGCACAATAATAAGTACTGCAACCGCACTTCATGTTTGTTTCTGAGTGATTACCAGTCTCTCGCAAATTGCAGCATTTTGCTTGCAGCACTTGCTATACTGTATGTGAACGTGTCGACTCTCGTTTATGTTAAGAGCCTTCTACTTTCTCTATTTGATACCTCGTGGGCCGAACTTAACCACGATTTCCCTGATATTAAAAAATATTCTGCCAATCACGGCAGCGTAAGTTATAGCGGATATTGGGTACTCCGGAAGGGCGGCTAATATGGCTTTTCGTAATCTAGGTGTCAAGTACCTGGAGGACATTGTAAGAATGATGCGCGTCAGTCGCCGCGGAAGCCCTACCTTCGAAGCGGCTCTACAGTCCGCGAAGGACGTCATCGCAGGCGTGATCCGTGGTCTCACTCGCTCAGGCGAGGAAGACTCGGAGGAGGAGGAACTACAGCCCCAGGAGGACCTTACCCTGCCACCGAAGTTCAGCTTCCAGATCAATGCTGGTCAGAAAAATGACAAAAAGCCCATTTCGCGGGCGGGCTCGCTGCGAGAACAAAGACGGGCGCGGCTGGCAAAGATGCAAGAGCAACAGAAGAAGCTCCAGCGCATGCAACAGCAACGCCTCCTAAAAGAACAACAGCAACAGATGCAGGGAGAAGTAAGTGGTGCAACAGGTCTAATTAGTTTGAACACCTTATCTTTTCTGTTGAACAGTAGAACATTTTGCCATTTAATTATGTCATCTAATCCTTTGAACACATAATCTGTCCTGCTGAACAGTAGAACTTTGTGCCGCTAATCGTATGTAAAGACTAAAATGGCTTACCGTTCATTTTGTATGTTGCATCGCCGCCGCCGCCACCATCAGTAGGTTCATGTTCCTGGACAATCAAAATAACGTGACTACTACTTTGACGCTGTGTATATGTCGGTTTTTGAAAAGCGTTTTCGTCACATACACAAAACATCCCGCTGCCTTTCAGTTTTGCCGAGTGTTGAGCCAAATCTCCTCCAATGATAGGTTCATTCAAATAAGTTTGTATGCACAGCATATTCACTCTTCCTGTCATCTAAAAAATTACCTAGCCTTATATATCCAATTACCAAACCAGGGTCGGTTCACACGTGCACCAGGGACAATGATACAGCTGGTAAGAAATGGGTGGCCTTTGTACTGCCTTACCGGCCACTAGTAGCGAATGCGACAAGGGATAGGTGCATTATAAATCTATATTTCAGGTTCCAGTGCAATTCAGATCATCATATATTAGGGAAATAGGCAGAACCCTTGAAAAGCCTATTTACAGATAGATTCTGGCAAATAATGCATATTTTTCAGAGCCATCTCTGTACATTATATCAGTCGGTTGTGTCTACCAAATGTATGACCATCAAGTAAAGTTTTATCTGGATCAACGCTTACAGCAAAAAAACTGAAGAGGATAGTTTGTTCCAGTCTTCAATGACCCGGTAGGAAAAGAAGTTGGCCCGCTCTTTTAGTTTGGTATGATGTTTATTCAGTTTGTATAGATAACCTCGAGATGTGTCGTTTTTGCTAATTCAAAAAAATCAGCCATCCGGAGAGCACTCTTCTGACGAGTTTGAAGACCATGACCATATCCCCTCTGTATTGGCTATAACAGATAAGAAAAAGTTTAAGTCCTTCTAGTCGAACCTCACATGGTAGGCCTTCCAAGCCAATGACTAGTTTGGTCGCCCTACGTTGAACTTTCTCCAGCGCTGTGTAATCTTGCTCTATCCAGGAGCAGGACGCCTGAACGCAATATTCTACCATCGGCCGGACAACTGTTCCAATCACTCGTCCAAAAAGCTCTGCATCGAAACAGAGGAAGTGTTTCCCGATCGCTCTTAGGATGCCCATAGCCCTCTTTGCAGTTTTGGCACAGTGAGTTGATGGTTTGAGAACGGCGTCATCTTTGTTCGTTCACTTGCTCGAGTTGGTGACCTCCAATGAAGTAATCATATTAAAATCGTATCAGCTTTCTGTAACTAGACCATAGGCTGATGATTTAGCATCTGTTGAGATTGAGGTACAGTAGCCACTTCTCACGTCACTCTTGCAAGCGGCCCAAGTTCTTTTGTAATTTCTGCCCATCCTCCGGGCTTTCGATTGAATTCCACATCTTCAGATCGTCTGCAAACATTACTTTCCCACATGTTAGGCAATCAAGGCAGTCGTTCACGTATATCAGAAACAGAATTAGACTCAGAACGTTCTCCTGCGGAACCCCACTGGAAAGTGTTTTCCATTCTGATTTGGCGTCTCCAATACAAACACGCGGACGCCTGCTTGTAAGAGAGTCGGTTAACCACTTGAGTAGATTTCTATTCGCACCTATTTGATGCAGGTTTGACATTAGTCGTCTGTATGGAACTCTATAGAATGCCTTACTGAAGTTAATGTAGATCGCTTCGACCGACGAACCCATTTCCAATGAATTCGTCCGGCTTTTCATGGATGTTAGCAGGTTAGTGAGACAAGATCGACCGCTTCCAAATCCATGTTGCTGCGCGCTTAGCAAGTATTTCTCCTCAATGTGTCTAATTAGTTCCGTTTTGATAACTTTCGCCATTAGGTTGTCACAAATGCATGCTGCAGCTATTTATAATATCTGTGCAAATGAACAACTGCGTCGAACGACAGACACTAGAACTCCCCCTGATTTGGCAAGAGCCTTAGACTGGTAACTAGACACTGCAAAGTCGAAACGTTGAGAAAAAAAGGGAATATGCGGAAGCATCACAACCCCACAGAAGTGCGCTCTTACTGTACCGTTCTGGCCTTGGCAGGTAAATGTTTGGAAGCCTATTTTTGTTAACATTCAATTTGACGATTGTCTGGCAAGCTTTGCACAAAAATGACGCTAGTAAATCAGACTTTTATTGCGCTTAGCCAAACCACATAGTCTCCTTCCCTTAATTTCCTTGAACTGAAGAATACACCGTCACCGGGAGATGGCAGGAGTCAGCCAGACGGCCAGGCCTCCATCAACTCTGATTGGATAAAGTCGGGTCAGGAGGCACCAAATACTGCCACGCCACAGGACGGCAGTTCCTCGGAAGGGAACATCTACCTTCGAGTTCCAGAACCTGGCTTTATGGCGGTACAGAACGATAAGTTTGACGAGGATGAGGATGACGAAATCTCTGAAGGCTCCTCCTACGTCGACCTCCCAAATAGTAAGTCCACTCCTTTTGTTCGTCCCCCACGACAATATCAGTACTACCAATAGTCAAGTTAATGATAGCACTTAAACGAATACGATGACTGAACTCTCGCCTACATTAAAGTAGTAAATACTGCCAGAAGTAAAGTGGACCATGGGATGAGCTACTTGTGATGTTAAATTATTACGAAGTTAAGCGGTGCTATTTACAGGCAGTACTTGCTGTAGGACTTTCGGAATTGTATGCTCATGCGTGAAGAATTAGAAATGAAGAAGAACTGGCTGGCTAGCCGCTAGGTTCTCAAAGGTCTGACAAGCAACCCTAGAATTTGTTTATAAACTGGACATTTTATAATTTCCGTACTTAGAATTAAATTCTCCTTGGTTTTTCGGGTTGTTAGTTTAAACCC